GCTTTCCCAAAAGTTGTTCTCATCCAGGGTGGACTGCAGTTTTGACCTCGCATTGGTCTTATCAACACCCCCAGCGGGAGTCGAATCGTGACTGTGCAGAATGGAAGCTTGAAACATTAACCACTCGACCACATTGCCACGAGTGCTCTTGGGTCACAGGACAGATGTGAATTTCAAGGAAGGCCAGGCATTTTGCTTGGGATTGCCGATGAAGCAAACGTATATTTGCTATAACAATCGACTACGTTATTTATTTTTCGTATTTGAGTAGAGTTTCGAGACTACTAGTAAATCAGTAATATGAGATGTCTTCAACCTGGATGAAAACAACTTTTGGGAAAGCAAGGCAATGTGAACTTCAATGGAAACGACAGCTCTTCTCATATCGTTGTGGGTGAATTCTACTACCAGGCCTTCATCACCTTAAACGAAATAGGGTGAATATATCTCATATTACTGAATTACTGGTAGTCTCGAAACTCTACTCAAATACGAAAAATAAAAGAACCTGGTCAGCCGGTTGATTAAGGAACTGATTTTTGAGTTTTCTCACAATCAAATGAGTAGGTTCCAGGATGCCATTGGATTTACCTTTGTCCTAACTACAAAAAGGGCATTCTATTCAGGCTGTACCGAACTGCAGTTTCGACCTCACCTCATCGTACCATCAACACCCCTAACGGGATTCGATACCGGATCGTGAATATCGTAGTGACGTTACCACTCCACTACACAAACACGAGCATGAGTGCATCACAGGGCAAATGAGACATTCAAAACAAGCCGGGCCCCTCTCAACTCACGTTTACAGTGAGATTGCGGATCAAGTATATAAGTATTTACCATTGCAATCGATATCGTTTCATATTTTCCTTGTAGATAGGCTCCACCTTAAGCAAGTCATAGTTAATATAATTTTATTCTGAAAGTACTGATAGTCTCGAAACTACCTTTAGCGAAACTAAGCAACTTGGTCCATTGCCATGAAAAGTGCTTGTTTGTTGTGCTTACGTCCATTTCGAGTAAAAGTGCTTGTTGAAGAGATTCGGAGATCTATCTCACCAGAAGATTATGGAAAATTTCTCTTGACCAACTGTGGATTGACTTTATTGGAACATTCTTGTTGGCGATGTTTCCTAGACCATCTCCTTCGATTCCGGTGAAAACGTTCTAAGTTTTCGTCTGAGTATGACAGACATCATCAGAGCAGGGTATCATCTTTACAAGCGTATTCAAGCTAACCAGTCAAGGGATAACAGAGTGAGTTATCTTGACGCCTTGGAAACAGCGTCAGCAAGAATGCTCTAGTAAAGCCAATCGACAGCTGGTAAAGAGGAATCTGCTGTCGTATTCTGGTGGGATTGATCTTTCAATCTCTTCACCAAACACTTTTACTCGAAATAGGAGTAAGCTCAAAAATTATGAAATGAGATATTCCTCTAGACCCAACTTTTCCTCGCTTATACTAAATACGTGTTTGCTTAATCGAGCATTCCATTGTGTACGTGAGACCTGGCTTGCCTATTCTTTGGCACCAATTGCTGTGTAGTGTAGTGTAGTGGTAGCGTCGCTACAGTACTCACGATTGAATATCGAATCCCGTTGAGGCTGCTGGTGAGACGATGAGGAGAGGTAAGAACTACAGTTCTGCCTGAAAGCCAAGACAAAGAGAACATCCATGGCATCGTAAGACCTACTCATCTGATTGTGGTAAAACTAAATATTCAGTCGTTAATTCAGCCCATGTGATTATGTCCTTATTAATTAAAAAGTTGACTAAGATCCCATTAGGGGGTCTCTTTTCTAATATTTTTGCGCCGTTTCAAGATACACACTTATGCAACCATCCATGTCGAGGATATGAAGAGTACCCATGCGTACATAAGGTTCCTCGTCTCGATGTTTGTTAGCATATAATCTGGCTATTTTCCCTGCTACCGAACAGCCCAAAGCCGATGGATTACTAAGTCCTGCCAAGGCAGGCTTAATAACGTTGCGTACTTGAAAAACTCTGTAGATGTGCATTCTAGGTCTAGGCCCCAAATATCAGGTTACATCATTAAACCATACTTTTAATTCAGAAGAATAACTTTTCTCGTGGACGCCAGGATACAGTATAAGCCTCGCACCTGGTTGCCCGAAGAAAATGTTCTATTGAAGTGGAATGACCTCGTTGTCTCAACTTGGTCTTGTTGTCAAGGGGACTAATTAGAACGCATCTAGTTCGAAGTCATCTGCCATAGTAGTTGTCATGATTTCCAGCATCAGACAGTGGACTTGGTAGTTTCTCAAACGTTTCACCGTCATCGTAGTCGGCATCATTAGTGAGTTTTATCATTCTCCGCACCAAGCCACGAACTCGTCAAAGAGTTCGTCAAGACTGGCAAGGCTTACTGACAATGCCAGAAGGACATCTGGAAATGCACCAAGTTCACAATCTGACTCTGGAAACTATCATAGCTACTATGGACTCCGGACGAGGTGAGTTCCTCTAAGTCTCCCTGACATCAAGAACAAGTTGCGAAAACGAGGTCAACCCACTTCTAGGTGGGATGTTTCATTTTGTAAATATTTTACCATACTGACTACAACTAAAGTAGAAAGTCTTATCTAGGTGGTTCCCTTTAACTGTGACAACATTTGCATGTAACTTGTTAAGTTGATGGGGGTTTTTTACCAAACACCCCATGAACTGAAATACTTGGCCTTCGTGTCGGATTGTGTCTGGGCAATGGTAAAAACGTGGTCTAAGTCGGATTAATAGATACTGGAATTCAACTCAAATTCATCCGTTATAGAATCTGGAAGGTGAGAGAAATGGTTCAATAGGGAGAATTGAATAGAATACTATGAGGTGTATCTATCGTTTAAGGCGATAAGGGGACTTGTACTTGAATTTTCCCACAATGATATAAGTAGATATGACAGTTCCTTTGAATTTCACATGGCCTTGCTTCCCTGAAAGTTAATCGTATCTGGATGGACTACAGTTTCGACCTCGCCTAGATCTTAGACACACCTCAAGTGGGACACTGAAGCGCATAATCTTGACATGTTAACCACTACGCCACTTTGCCACAAGTATCTTTGGGTTACAGGGCAGGTGTGAATTTCAAGGAAGGCCAGGCATTTTACCATATCACATTCTGTGATGGGTGAAATGAGATATGGGTAAATACCCTGCCTTCCTTGAAATGCACATCTGCTCTGTGACCCAAGGGCAGTTGTGGCGATGCAGCGTGGTGTTTAACGTGACGAGATCATACGCTGCAGTGCCATGCTTTGAGTCCCTCTGGAGGTGTTGAGAAGACTTTGGAGAGGTAAAAACTGTAGTCCACACTGGAATAGAATAACTTTTGAGAGAGCTAGACTATGTGAAATTCAATGGAAAAGTCACGTCTACTCATCATTGTGGGAAAATTCAGCTACCAGTCCCCTTAAAATCCTAAACGAAATAGGATGAATACAGAGGAGAGGATTGGTCTACATGGGCCTGGAAGAAGTCTCGGTGGCTGATCCAGGCGAGTGGTTATACCGGAACGATGTCTGCGACAGAGATAATGTTGCCGGCCTTGGGCAAAGAGGCTAGGCCCTCAACTCTTTAACTTACTTTATGGATATCTGATTATCGTGAGGGAGACTGCTTTATGTTTAGGGAAGTGCTGGTTCAGAGGTTCCAATGAAGGGCGCAAGCAGCGGCTGAGTTCAACCCTTGCCTAAGAATGGAAACTAAAAATGCACCATACATGTGTGATTTGTCAGCGAGACATGAAATCTTCTAATGCTAGAGGTGACGCCACGAAAGACCGGAGGTTGGAGGGGGGTCTGCAGAAATTGAGACACCATTTGTGCCACCACACCTAATTGTGTTTAGATATGGCATAGTGGCTGCCAAGTGGAATGATACAGAGAGCAATACAGAATATCCCATCTAGTTTGTACATCGGATGATATCAGTGAAGTAAATGTTTGAGAAAATTGTCAGTCGGAGATATGCTCTACCTTTTGTACCTACCTTTTTTAGATAATAAAGATATGAAAGCAATCATTTTTTCGTTTTCCTCGCTCAGGTTTGGTTTCAAAATAGACGTGCGAAATTCCGCAAGATTGAACGCGCTAATCAGCCTTCATCTGGTAACCAATTCCTTTCCTCTTCTACATGCTCTACTCCTGTCTGTTTTTTGGGCAGCCTTAAGACTCTTACCCAAGCAACCGAGTTAACAGAATTCCCTCCCAATTCGTCCAGCCTCCCTGCGTGTACAGGGCGCGAAGTGAATGGATTGCAGCGACATTCGCCCAATCAGGAGAGAGATGCCCAGAGGAATGGGCTAGACGTAAGCTCCACAATCGAGCTGGGGGAGCCCGGAATTGGGTCTCTTTGCTCGGCTGCTTTTGAGCTAAACGAACTGGCAACCTCACTTTGCGTGCGCCACAACCATGACCAAGGCTCCCAGGAGCTGCTGTACGACCTGAGACAAGAAGATTGTGGGCATGCAAACGATGATGAAGAAGAGGTTGAGTCGGAAGAAGAGGATCGCGACAGAAACGGTACAGAAGAGGGAGGAATTAGAGAGAACGGAGAATACGTCGACGAGGGACAGGAGGAGAGATGCGAAGTACATGGGAAAGACGGAACCGATGTGACTAACGAGGAGCGAATCCACAAGAGTGAGGATGATGAAGAGTTGACGAGGCGATTCACCCTCAAGCGTCTGCGAATGTCTGCCTACAGACCCAGAAAGGAGGAACTCTTGGAAAACGGCCAACAGGAACTGGAGAATCCACACAAAGCTTTCCAATCTGGCCAGATTTATCAGCTCTCGGCTCCGGCAGCCGGCGACACTCGAGACGACTGTAGAAACAACAACTTCGAAACCATCAAGCTCGGGTTCATTTGCAACCAGCAGATTCATGGAGGGGATTCGCCTGAAGGATTTCCGCTCAACCAAAATGCCCTGTATGCTGGCGGGGAGGAGAGCGGAAAGCTGGACACTCAAGCCCCGTCGATAAGCTCCCAAGAAGGGAGCTCCCGGCGCGCCTATCTACAACAACAAACTCCACAAGCAGACGCCTATCCTACTCGTCACTACTCAACACCGATGAGCCAAATACCAACAGGATTTGGATCCCTCCATCAACACCATCTCCACCACCTGCATCTGCCTCGAGCCCACTCGCAAGTGCACAATCACACAACCCACATGCACTTGCATCCGCATGTTCCATTGCAATTGTCACAAACGCCGCTGCCACCATCTCAACCATTGCAGCCGCCAATCCCAACACTGCCACTACACTCGACAACAGCCCTTTTTCCAACTACACCTTTGTCCCACCGTCCTTTCCACCATCTGCAACATCTGCAACTTCATCCGAATCCCAACCAACTGGAAAACTTCCCGCAAGCCGACGCTTCAACGGCCAGCTTCCCTAGCATACCGTCACACGGCTTAGGCATCCAGAAGACGGGATATAGGGACCCATCAGACGTCTTCCCCAAGCCAGAAGAGGCTCTGTCCTGTCGGGACCCGGAGCTTGTATTCGGTCTGGCTGGGGTTATGGTCGGTCGGGAAATGGGCACGTTTCCTGACATATCCTGAATCGGCCACATGAAGCCGATCTGTACAACGGCCCTTGGACTGCCCTACCACAATGTAAAAAAACCTTACATAAACAAATTACATAAGCTACCCACTTTTAGCATAAACCCAACTAAAGCTTTTTTAACAGTCACGTTTTCAGCATTGTAACTTTCGTAATCGCTTTCAGGCACTTGGCTGTATGCTTGCTTCAGGGCCTACGTATGGCCCGTATTGATAGGAACAATAATCAAAAGTGTGGTCGTATATGTGAAGAAAAGCCATGCTTCGATGACCCTCCTGATTTACAATCATTGAGCTCACTTCCATTTGGGATGAAGAAGTGTGATGTAGAAATGCGTAGGTCAATTTCGCCAGAGGACAACTGTAGATGCCTGCTGGTATGTCATCGTTTGCCTTTAAAGGAACGAGAGCTTTAGTCATCCAAGATCGCATACGAAGATACAGAACTGATAGTTGGATTTACCCACAATGAGCTGAATGGGCCTCGGGATACAGTTGAAATCCACATTGTCTTATCCACCAAAATGCTTTCTTGTCCTGAGTGGACCGCACCCGGACCAAATAAGAGCTTAAGTCATATTTACTACATATCGAGTGGCTTTATAGAATGAAGTGGCGATTACAAATTTGGCTATCGACGACCCCGTGATGAATGTAGTTTTTAGTGCCCTGCTTACCTTGAAAGTAAAATCTACTCTTTGCCATTTTTTCCTACATGACTCATTTTTGAATCCCGTTGTGTGTACTTATGGGACTCGGACGAGGTCGGAATAACCGTCCTTCCTGGATAAGAAAGCAATGCGACTTCATCGGCATCGTAAGGTCTATCCATTTCGTTGTGCAAAAATTCAACTGTTTTGCTTACTCCCATTCGGGTGAAAGTGTTTTTGTTGAAGAGATTCGAAGGTCAATTCCACCAGAAAACGATAGCGGATTCCTTTTTACCAGCTGTCGATTGGCTTTACTGGAACAATTATACTGACTCTGTTTCCGAGGTAATCTCCATCGATTCCGGTAAAAAAGTTGGTAAGCTTTCGTCCGTCATATGATGAACATCATCAGAGCAAGGTATCATCGTCACAACCAAATTCAAGCTA